TCTGCCCTGCCCGTAACTCGGCGCTCGAGGGCTCTGAGCTTCCCGAAAACGGCTCTGTGTCGCCCTTCCCTCCCCGCCGGGGCTTGTAAAGAGAGAAGTTGTTTCCCCCAAAGTCGCCGCCAGGTTGTTGGGGCTGCTGCGCTGCGTGACCAGGTGTCACTCGTTTTCCCTAATCCCACACTGTCCCCTCCAAGGCACAGCCCAGCGGAGCTCTGCTGACATTTGTTTGTGATCTTTCCCCCCAGAACTCTGCCGTGACCTCGCACCCATCCCTGCACATCGCTCTGAAAGCCTCACAGGCACCTGCGGAGCTCAGCCTCGCCCCGAAGAGCAGCACTTGACTCGCTGCTGGCAGCATCATCCCGCAGATCAGCACCGAGGGAGACAACACGTCGTGATGGGAAGGACCCTGACAAGGGGGAATGGCTCCACACTGCCAGAGGGCAGGCTTAGACTGGATATTAGGAAGAAATCCTTCCCTGTGAGGTGCTGAGACACTGGCACAGGTTGCCCAGAGAAGCTGTGGTTGCTCCATCCCTGGGAGTGTTCCAGGCTGGGTTGGATGAAGCTTGGAGCAGCCTGGGCTAGAGGAAGGTGTCCCTGCCCATGGCAGGGGGTGGGATGAAATGACCTTTAAGTTCCCTTACAACCCAAACTCTCCCGTGATTCTATGTCTTATATTGCCCCGAAGCTAGAAAATCCAGGGAAAATACAACCGAAGGAAAAAACCCTGAATTTTATTGGACTTCAGCTCTCGGGACAGGACACACAACACTGTGCCACACAAACCCCAGACACACAACTCTGTTGCTGAGCACTTCACACAGAAAGAGTCACGAAGTCATTCCTAAAGAAGCAGGAGCAGCCCCTGACAGAGAACAGCTTCATGGTCCACAGGCAAGTAAATAAATGAAGGATTCACATTCACACGGATTCAGGGACCAAATGCAGGAGAAACACCTCCACAAACCCATCAGAGGGCTGGGGTCAGCAGTGAGCACCCTCCCTGTGGCCACTGCCACTGGGGCTGGACACAGGGCTGGACACAGAGCTTTTGGAAAGGGGGGGAAGCAAGGGCAAAGTGAGGAGCAGCCCATGCCTGGGCATCATCCACCAGCCCATCTCAGGGCTCTGAGCAT